ATGGTATAAAAGTACAAGAGAAATTTTAAAAGTGCTGCTTAAAATTACCATATCTCCACGACTTGTACGTGCTTGTTTCCTGCTGAGAATGGAGAGAAGGTGATTATAGCGATGCGTATTCAATTTTCTAATCCAATCAGCAACATCAACTCTTTGTTTGACATCATCCCAGTATTGCATATGTGCTTCTTTACCAGCACCATAAGGTGCGTGATTGAACCAGTCAGTTAGGACTTTCATTTCACTCACATAGATATTATCATCGTCTTCGTGTATTGGAACCTTAACAATTTGTCAGCTTTGCTAATGCTTCATTATCAATAACAACAACAAATCATGCTATAATAATACCTCAGTCAGAATAACAGCTGGTGTTCGGTGGACAGGATGTTCGTCAAGGCGTGCTAAACTGAGTGGGTCATTCAAGGTTCGTGCTTGTACATCACCTCCCACTGCAGCCATTCCCAGCTTCCCCATACAATCATTCGTTCCATTATTATGAACTGAAAAATCAACACAAATTTTAAATCGAACAAAATTTGTCTGTGAATCTTTCTGTGATATTCATAAAAGTTAACAGTAATATCAGCATTTGAACAACAGATTCATGGATGATAAATATCGTTCACAAAAAAAAGCAGAAATGATCACAAGAGATTAATTCGAAAATATGAATTTACATAAAGAACTGCTGTATAGAAGATACCAACCGCTGTGAGATGTGCTCGGATACGCATTTGATGAACTCATTGTTACAGGTATCTCAAGCGGCTCGAATACATTTGAACTGGCATCATTTGATAGCTTCTTACCATTAACACATATTCCATTCACGCTACTGCTGTTTCCATTCAAATGAACCTTCAACAGAAACTCGAGATTATTTCAACTAACTTCAATCACAATTCACTCACTGAAATCAGTTGCCTTTTTTCAGCGATAAATCCATAATACCCGTCAGTCTGACCTATATGTACAGATGAAATGGACGGGTATTAACGTTACCATATCCATACGACAGGCATACATGCAGACACTCAAATACCTCATCAGTACAATATTAAAATAATTAACCTGCAATGCATGATTACCACTAACATCTACATCGACATCTTCATCAATGCGGACTAATCTCGTCAATCCATTATCTTCATTCCAAATCGAAGAACCTTCTCAAATTTCACATTATATTAGATTGACTTACATATCATATCACTGATATGAGTAAACTTTATATGCACCAGATTCATATCAATTATAACGAGAAAATATCAGAACTTGTAATAGCAACTGCGGAGCCAAAAAACATTTGTCGACAGAAACAACATAAAAATTACAAGCCATTTATAGCAATATTCATCAATAAAAGTAACAATAAACTACTAATTGAATGATCTAATAATTAGTCAGGATAATGATAATAACTACCTGTATCGCTGGTATAATGCATACGGTTGATCTGCTTGAATTCTTTGACTTTACCTTTAATCAAAGCTAAAGTACGAGCAACCTTGTTAGAAGAGTCTGATTCGGGACTACGTATCATGTTCATAACATCTTGGTGATCGACTTCTTGAACGCTGTTATCTGTGCACATCTGCAAATGCAGAAGAACAATCAATATAACGACTCTCAAATCATTGTTACTGAACTGCAGCTGATAGAGAATAACCACTTAGAATAGACTCATTGAACGCAATTCTACAATACTATATCGGAACTTAGCAATTAAGTAGAATAAAACTGTGTGTAAAATAGAAGAAAGGCGACAGAACTGAATTAGGAGGACACGCAAAGTATTCGAAGACAACATTGTAACGGTGCTACTGAAAATTGACACCGTTAAAAAAGATGGTTTGCAAAAAAAGGACAAGGGAATGCATTCTAACATGATGAGATGAAATCAAAGCATCGAAAACAAACTTTTATAAGTTTGAGTTGTTGGAGGGCGTCAAACTGCGGAAAGAGATGGCTTATTGCAATAGCATTTTGTTCATCTTCTTCATCTTCAGGCGCATTTCCTCCGGTATTGTAATTAGCGAAATCATTTGGTTTTATCACTTTCGTTGCACAATCGTCATTCTGTGAAATATTATTCTGATGAAGAATACCAATTGGAAGATGATGATTAGCGTTATTAGTATCACCATCATTTGAATTTAAATGCTGTTCCTCGAGCGTAACAATTGAATCTGATTCACTTGAAGGTTGTTGTTGTTGCTGATGATGCATAAGTGATGGAGGTGGTAGTGAAGTGGAAGGAACAGTCGCTGACGATGACATAATTAGAGGATTCAAATAGCTGCTGTCAGCAACTTGGAGTTGATGCGATGCTGATGAGGACGAATCGTGACAATCTGTGACCAGATTACGTGATGGATCTAAGGGATCTGGTACGAAGGATGGTCGTGGAAAAACATTGAGATAAGAATAGTTGATTACAGAAGGGGCTGGTAAATTGGATAGATGTGATGTTGATTCAATCGATCTTCTTACTGAAGACGACTTCGACGATGGCACTACTGATGGTGTTGTTGAATGAGAATAATGATGAAAGGAATTCGAATAATCAAAAGGTGACTGCGACTGAGATTGTGGCGACGACGAGGAATAATTATTGCAATTATTATTTTCTGCTAGCATATCAAGTTCCAGTTGTTCTACTGATACACCAAAACTAGCCGCTAATTTCATCAACCGTTTCTGTTTCTTCTTTTCTTTCTTTTCACGTTTCTTCTCCTTCTTACGTTGTTTTCGTAATTGCTCTAATTGCTCATTTGGAACAACACTATTCAATTTACGTGAATATGCTAATTTCTCGAGACTTTTCAACAATTTCGCGTCACGAAGACTGTGAACAAAACCGAGTGGATCTTTACTAATCGCATCAGCAACAATTATTTCAACTGGAGCAAAATTTTTGTCTTTCATGAGCTCTTCCATTGTACGTCTTGTTGATTCATTTTTCTTGTCTCTCTCACTCCTTTTAGAATCTAAGAAATTTTGTTGCGTTTCACTGCTTGATGTCGAGGATGATAACGCATTACCAACAACACCTTCTAAGTGATCCACATCGTTCGCAACCTTATGCAATACCTCCGCGTTACAACCTTTCCCGGTGTTGGTTACTTGCTGCATACCATCAACACTCCTATTGTCATTACGCTTCACTCTGTTCCCATCACTCTTATTGCTATTGTAATCATTATCACAACAATTACTGCAATCTGCCCGCAGCTCTTCCGCACTTATATCATTGTCACTGCCTCTCAAACATGTCGTTGCTCCTTGACCCATGATCCTCTTCCTTTTGTTCCCTTCAGCTAATGTATTACGTAACACCTCTTCAATAACTAACTCCGTATGTAATTCTCGTTCAGCTGCACTGATTCCACTTGTATCATTTCTTCGTTTTCTTGCATTACACTTCCACTTATCACATACATCCGAATGTTCTGGAGTTATTTGTGAAGTGGATGGACCCAAAGTCATTGATGATGAATAATCTTCGATTCCGCCATCTTGATTTAAATTTTCGATCGATTCTATAGATTTATCTTGTAACACTGAACGCCCGTTACGCTTCAGTCGACGACGAGTTGTTTTTGAAAGAGCAGTATTTTTTGCTGTTGGTAAAACACTTTTCGAGTCTCTTTTACGACGCTCTTCTAACGACAGATTCCAACTGAAAGATTTCGGTTCACACTTCAGCGTCACATTTTGATCGACTTTTTGTACCACTGCTGGAGGAAGCTGTTCCTAAAATCATTTGTATCACATGGAATGCATTTGTTCCAAGGAACAATTCGAAAATTAAAATCATCTAATATTTCACATTTTAAATCTTTTACAATCAACTTATCACTCCCAGATACAAAGTCTGAATATAAATTTTATGCAATGGAAATGTCACAACTTTTTTTAGAACTATGCCATACAATAGAAAGAGGAAGACGCAAGCTTTACAATGGATAAATAAACTTGAAAACTACCGGTTTAGTAAATCGACGTGCTTTCCAGTCATATATACGGCATCTGGCAGATGACAGCGACCGTTGACTGAGAACGGAACGTGAAGGTTGCGCTAATGGAACCGATCCAGTCTGCAATCCATAAAAAACATCGACAGTTATTGAGTGCTTTTAGATTTATACGCTTTTAACTGTTTTACTCATTTATAGATTTACAGCGTTACTTTAAACTACCAGTGCAAATTTACAAGATCTTATCTGATGATAATGGTTGAAAGGGTATGATATCAATCGAATTCAATAGTTGCATTTCCAGCAATGTCGTTCTGAAGGTTTTGAGCGTATGCAAATTTCGTTACAATACTTCAAAACGCCAATTTGAAAGCGAGTGATCAGTGTTGATGGAATGCGCAAAAATTATTTGTTTTCTTGGAGAGATTAAAGGAAAATTCAAACTAGTGATCATATTTGGAAAAAGTGAATGATGTATCAGAAATTGCTGGAGGTTTGTTACCTTCAAATTACACTGCACTTGCAAAATGACAATAGTTTTATGAACCAAACCAAAGTTTTCAAACCTCTGAATGTCCTCCATCTTTAGATATTACTCGTTTCCGACTTCCTTTCGATTGCTGCAACTCGTTCTTCTCCAAACTGCAGATAAGTATCATTAAAAAAAACACGACTCGGCCGAACCCAATGCTATTTATTAGAATCACTTAACCGTTTATGTTTTACACTATTTTTTGCTGATAATAATGACGGTTATCATAAAAATGAGAATTGCTCACGAAGGATTCATAAAAGAACAATTGAAAAAAAGTAACAAACTTGCTGCTATTATTCGTTGATTGTTTGATTCGCCGCACTTGTCGTCGAGTTTTCACCACCGATCCACCACTATCTGCTTCCATAGATTTTTGCCTAGTTCTTCGATGAAATAAAGCTGAAATTTCGTGAGAATAAGGTTGACTTAAATATTTGTGGTGAAATCTTATATCTTGTGCTTGTTTATATGAGAATGTATCATCAAATACGTACCTGCCTACGTGTCCTCTCCAGTTCTATATAAGATAAAATCAAGTGATTTCTTTCATAAGCACATCTAACTGAACTTCTCGTTTTGTTTGC